GCCTTCCTCCCCGTGCCCAGCCTGCCCTTGGCCCTCGGGGTCAGGGCTTCCCCCAGAGGCTCTTTCTCCCTAAACAGAGAAAAGCATGGGAAAGGGGTTGGAGGGATGGCCTTCCTGCATCTCCGGCCTTGCTGTCCCTCACACCCCAGGCCTAGCAAGTCACCCCACTATTTTTTTTTAACTTTCTTTAATTCGCTGTGTTAGGAAGAGAATACAGTTGACTCTACATGAGGACAGGCTGCAGTGATATAATCAACCAACAGCGCCAGTCAGGACAGGCAGGTGCGGGCGCCTTCCATCACCTCACAGGCCCGGAGGCCACGCGCGCGCCCCACGTGGGGCAGCGCAGGAGGGCATTTGCCTGTCCTCCCGGCAGTGGCTGAGGGGCCTTCCACAGCAGAGGGAAGAAAGCCAAACGGGGTGGAAAGCCAAGGCCTATAGGCCCGGTCCTGTTCTCTCCCAGGTAGAGGAGATTGTTCATCTGGAGAGAGGTCTTTCTTAAAATGTTACCTTTGAAGACTAAGTAGGCTGTAAGGCAAAACTTTCTCTCCAGCACACAAGAGAACTAAGTTACTTGTTGCCCAAAGGATGCATAGAACACAGGTGGGGCCGGAGGAGAGCCAGCTGGTCTGCAAGAGGCTCCAGGGTCTCACAGTGCGACCTGGCCACCATTCACCCAGCATTTACTCCGTGCTGACTCTGTGACGCATGTTTCACGGCAATTCCCCATTTGCACCCCCCCCCCAACTCTGCAGGTTGTGCTGTCATTAGACCATATTAACAGAGGAAGTGTCCAAGACATCCGGAGGTTATGTGGTGGGTTACAACACAGCTGGCAAGTGAGTGGACCTCAAACCACAATTAAACCTAGGTAGTCGATTAGTGGCTAAACTAATTAGTGGTTAAACGATTAGTCAAAATGTTCTACTTCTGCCCCAGCCAGTTTTTCCCAGTGGTTAGAGCGCCAGCCCTCAGATTGAAGGGTCCCAGGTTCGATTCTGGCCAAGGGCACGTACCTCACTTGCAGCCTCGATCCCCAGCCCTGGTTGGGGCGCATGTGAGAGGCAACCAATCAGTGTGTGTCTCTCACACCCATGTCTCTCTCCTCCCCCCCCTTCCACTCTCTCTGAAAAGCAGTGGAAAAAGCATCCTCCGATGAGAATTAAAGAACTAAAAATTCTGCTTCCTCTCAATATGCTTGGAAATAGGTACGGTCTCTCATCACACGGCTCACTTCATCCTGTTTGCAAGACCCTTCCCTGGCTCTCGAGGGGCTATTTTCAGAGAAAATTCTGAGAAAAACTCCCGAGCAAGCTCTGCTCTGTGTCTCTCTGCTCCTTGGGCACAATTTTCAGATGAGATAAAAATCTCATGACATTGCCATGTCCACCACGATGAGCAAGTGGGCTGCAGTCAATTGCAAAGCCCTTGCCACCCACACCATGGGGTGAGCGTGGGTCATCCGCAGACTCTGGAGAGGCGATGAGCATGGTCTCACCCTGAGCTGAGGGAGGGCGGACCCAGCTAGAGTTGCATGAGGAGAGTCTCACCCCACTATTGAGGGGCAGGAGCACCCAAGAAACCAGTTGGAATTTATGACTGTGGAATTGGAGAGCAGAAATCTCACCCCATCTGCTCCCCTAGGCCAGCCCTCCCTGGCAGCCACCAGCAACAAGAGGTGTTAAATGTTAGGCCAGTTTTTCCAGTTAGCTGGGTCCCAAAGAGTTAATAGGCAACTGCTTCCTCCTGGCTGGGCCACGAGGCCAGGCCTGGCCAGATGGTCCCAGGCTTGGCCTTTTCCCTCCTGACAGGAGGTCCAGGCCCATTTCAGGGAGAGAGATGGCCTCCCTAAAGTCAGGGACATGTCAGTACCACATCAACCACAGATTGGATGGATGACCTTGAGCGGGTCATTTAGGCGTCTCTGCCTCTCAGTTTCCTCCGCCATTCACATCCTGCCAACCCTCTGGTGCTACCGAGACTTCCAGGTGACTGAATGTATGAGAAACCCTGGGGAGGGTAGAGTGCTGGCCGAGTGCAAGACACCGAGGAGAGAACCGCCGGTGTGGACAGCACAGCGCCTGTACAACACGCTTTCCCACAGTTCTTAGTCATACCTCACAGAAACCTCACAACCACTGTTATTAACCCCAGCTCACATAAAAGTAAAAAGATTATATAGTTTTCTGAGTCTCTCAGTAAGAAAGGAGCCAGCATTTAAACTCTGACTGCCCGACACCAGACCAAACTGAACATCAAGGACCATTCAGCACATGAGGGCCTCCTAGGTGTGAGGCCCTGTGATGTCATTTTATAGATGGTAGCCCCCTCCCACAGCAGCAATCAGGCACTGTTGTGACCACCCCAGCAGGCCTAGATGTCCAGGAAAAGGGTCACGGAAATGCCTCTCTTTCCCACACATGCCCAGGACTTTGCAGTGGGCCTTCTGACATTTGGAACCTGGGGAATTGGGCTGAGACATAAAGACCCAAATCCCCTCAGCTTGCCAGTCTCCACTACATCTAAGAGGTGCTTGGCAGGCAGGTTCCTCAGCCTGAAGGAGACACAGGAGCACACGGACATGCATGCATGCTGGCTGTTTCAGTCATCTGAGCCCCTGGGGAGTCACCACCTTCCAGGGGCCTGGCCCCCAAGGGCCTCATGTTTTGTTGCACTAGGAGGGAGAGGAGCAGTGCCAGGGCCAGCATATGCTCCTGCCGGAGAGAACACCACTCTTCGGATGGGTCTCCCATCAGGTGGGTCCGTAGGCACAGTATGTTCTTAATAAACATTTGTTGGTTTTTCTGTGTTTTGTTGGGCATAGGAGCCCCTATCATCAAAGGACACTGGTCACCCAGGGAAGGAAAAGTGGAAGGTCCCAAACTTCACTGAGCCTTGGAAAGGCCACACGACTTCCACCCAAGGAAGAGTTAACTTTCTAGCCACTGGAGACAGCGTCCTGCCCGCAGGGGCTACACAGCCAATGACACTCAGTGGTGATGATGTCATGTGCCTCCTGCGCCTTCTATTGGGGACTGGACAGCGAATCCTGCTGGAGGTGCAGGCAGTGAAGCCGCTGAAGGTGGGTGGGGGCAGTGGGAGAGGGAGGGAAGGGAAGGCAAGCAAAGCCTGCAGAGCTGCTCATCCCTCTCTCCAATCCCCGGGAGCCTGCTACAGAAAGGACTCTGGGGCCACCCTGCACTCTCGGACGAGCAGACCAAAGCAGCTTTGGTCCGGAGGAAGGCTGGGAGCTCCCATTCCCAACGGGAGAACACAGGCGTTGAGCCTGCCCACCAGGCATAGAGGGGGCGAGGGGCCAGCATGCAGTGGGAGCGCACACACACCCATACACATCCCCAGGAGGCGTGGACAGGGACGGTACAGCGGCAGCCTCCTTGGCAACACCCACCCTTCTCCACCAGACTCTCTCTTGCCTTACCTGCCAGAGGGCTGGGAGTTTGTTTCCAAGCTGCTGCCCATAACTGGCCTGTCTACTTCGCTGGGCTCTCTGTGGGAGGGAAGAACAGGCAGGAAGAGCTGTGGCCCAGACCCCAGACCCCAGGCCCCCTCTCCTGCTTCTCTGCAGGCCTAGCCTCATGGGGCCATGGGACTGGAGGTGGCAGCCAATGTCTTTAAAGAGTTCCAAGTCCCCTACTCTGAGGGGAACCTCTCAGGGAGTCCATGCAAATCGCTCCAGCCTCCCTGCAGATCCAGGCAGCCCCTGCCCACCTTCAGCTCAGCCAAGCAGTTTCTCCCCCCACCCCAGCCCATGGCCCAGTCAGTTTCTCACGGTTGGACTCGGTTGGCAAAGTGTCGGCGCAAGAGCACAGCCAAGGTGCTGAGCAGGAAGAGGGTGGTGCACATGGCTCAGCTGCCCCATCCCCTCCCAGACGGAGTCTGCAGAAGAAGGCCAAGCTCTCCCAAGCCACTGCTGTGTGTCCTAGGTGCCTGCTGGTGATGGATTAGGAGGCTCAAGCTGATTACTGGGGTCAGCAGACCTGACCTTGTGAAGACCAATTAACCTCACTGGGCCCAGGTTTTCCCCACAGTGCATGAGAAATTGGCCTCGGTCTATTCTGGATGTAGATAGACTAAGATGTGGGCCTGGCCCTCAAGGGGTGTCCAGTCCAGACAAGTGCACTGGCAAGTTAAACAGTGACCACAGTAGAGTCACTTAGGTGATTAAAGGCACCTACAGGGCACTTTGGGAGTTGTAGGCATCAGGGGGAGCTTCAAAGAGGAGCTGGGGGCATCTGAATTTGCAGGTGCTCAAGGGAGGTGGGCCCTCAGACAGACCCTGCCAGGGCAGCAGACTTCGAAAGCGCAGGGCATGCCCCAGCAACCGGAAGTTGAGTGGCAGCAGGGCAGTGACATCACGGGAAGGCATCAGGAGGGGAGGAGGAGTGGGAGGGAGGCCAGGGCATGCGGGCTGGCCGGGCAGCTCAGCTCTGCCCTCTGGGCAGCCCCTCCTCCTTAACAGGCAGAGTCTAAGTGTACACTCACGAAACAGACCTATGCATCACGTATAAATCACATACTGCGCTACTGGGCAAACAGGGCCTGCACCACAGACACACAAAAAACTTGTAAAGATGGAGATAAACAGAAATGAGATTTCTTCTGCTTTCTTCCCACATCCTGGTGAAACTCCTTGGGCAGCCAGTGGGAAGGCCTCCGCCCTGGCTTTGGGAAGCTGTCCGAGGAGTTCCGGGAGGTGGCCCAGTGCAGCGGGCTCGGTCTTGGCCCAGGCGGGTGCAACGAAGGCCACGCAGGGAGACCGAAGTGAGGACGTGGACCTGAGAGTGATGTAAGAAACCGAACCCACCCTCTCTCCATCACCCTCCAAGGCTAGATTTTCCTTCCCTCAGTTGAGATGGAGGCAGCATCCAGAGGCCCCCCTGCCCAGGTTCCAGTGAGGCACCTGAACCCGGAGGGATAAGGAGCTGGGGCTGTACTCGGGCTCTCTGCTTTGAAATGGGAATTTTAAAAAACACATAAGCCGAAGTTGAACAAGAGAGCCAACCTCTTGCAATACTTGAGCAGTGGGACGCACAATCTTGAGAAGGGTCACCAGGGAGCCTTGGGGAAAACTGGACACACCCGGAAAGTCCTCACATGGTTCAGGAGAGGTGCTGCAACCCCTGCAGCCCGCCTGGCATCGGCTGCCACCGGGAGTCAGAGGTGGGACCTGGCTCTCAGAGGCACAGTCCCCACCTCTGGTCCAACAGCACTCACATCTCCCCGGGCAGGGCCCCAGGACAAATTTGTTTCCTCCACCCAGAACCCCTCCCTGAGAGGGGCCTTGGTGGCTGAGATGTCTCCAGCAGCCTGGGCCTCCCCAAGACTTCTTGACCCACGTCTGCTTTGCCCAGCCCTGAACTCGGGGCAATGCCTGGTTGTTGCCAGCTTGTGTCATTAATACGCCACCCAGGGACTTCTTTCCGACTACGCGGGTGTTTACACGGGGGCAGGGGCCTCGGGCGCTCAAGTTTGACAGCGGTCTGCATCCCCACAGCGGGGGTCTCCACTAAGGCGCGGGCGCAGGGAGGGGGCCCCCACCTAACCGTCCACAGCCCCGGGTCCCGAACTCCGGGCGCGGCGCCGCGGCCCCAGCGGCTGGCTC